TCAGACACTTGTCTACTGGAATGCAAAAAAGAGATTGCCAGTCGACCAGCCGTTGTTCTCATTGGGGATTTTAATGCACTCTGCATTCAATGGAGCGATATGTATGCGAAGTGCTCGAAGAATGCCTTCGAGTACCGTCTACTAAAGACAACCCTAGAGTCTCTTTTCACGCAACGTGTCCTATCTCCAACTAGAGCACGTGGAGGGCAACAGGCTAGTTGTCTGGACCTCGTCTTCACCAAAGATCCTGACAGTATAGACGAGGTGTACTACCTATCCCCGCTCGGTCGAAGTGATCATGCAGTACTTTTATGGCAGTACGAGCTGTATTCTGAACCGCATAAAAAAGAGGATACGAGGACGAATATATGAAAAGGGGACTTTTGCCAAATGAGAGCTGAGGCATCTCAAATACACTGGGATGTTCTCTGCTCCGGAAACGTTAACGAGGAATGGAATTTATTTAAGGATTGGTTATTGCATCTAATGAAGAGCCACTGTCCCGTACCAAAGCCTAGGACATCCAACCGCCCTCAGTGGCTAACACGAGAACTAAAAAAGAGATCAATATGAAAGGAAGATTGTGGATGAAATTTCGGGAAAACAGCAACATTGCAGCATTTATAGAATATAAAGTTCAAAGACGTGACGGGATTTTGAGAGTAATTTGCTTCACCGAGCCTTTAAAAATCCTAAAACTGTACTACAGCTATTTGCGGAAGAGCATGCGTAACAGAAATCCCATTCCTGTCATGAGGAATGATGACGGTTTGGAGATATCGGACAGTAGAAATAAAGCTGAGCATTTTTCTCGATATTTCCAATCCGTTTTTACTGAAGAAAATGACTTTATTCCAACTAGTTCCGCGAACATGGAAGATCCCACTATCGAAGATATCCTGTTTCGAGAATCAACGGTTTTTAAAGAACTAAAAAGCTTGGAGGAATCTAAATCTCCCGGTCCGGACGAGATCCCAGCAAAGCTGCTTTTCGAGCTTGCCCGAGAGCTGGCCAAACCACTATCCTTTATGTGCCAGGAATCGTTTGATGCTGGAATCCTTCCCACAGACTGGAAGACGGCCCACATTACACCCCTTTACAAAAGCGGCAGTCGTGCTCTTGCAACGAACTACAGACCCGTCAGTCTGACATCAATCTGCTGCATAGTGATGGAGAAAATCATCAAAAAGGAGTTGATGACTTATCTGGAAAGTCACAATCTCTTGTCCAATGCACACTATGGTTTCCGTAGGGGACGATCATGTGTAACAAACTTGCTATATACAATGCAAAGTTGGACAAGAGAGCTGGACGCAAAACACACTGTGCACGTGGCCTATATTGATTTCCGGAAGGCGTTCGACAGTGTCCCACACCAACGTCTCCTGCACAAGTTGATAATAATAGGCATCGGCGACAAACTTCTCAAAAGGATCAAGAACTTCCTCGTCGGCCGTTCCCAAATTGTCTGCGTAGAAAGACAGCAATCAAGGCGCACTTTCATAGGGAGTGGCATCCCGCAAGGCTCGGTGCTCGGACCAACCCTCTCTCTTTTGTTCATCAATGATTGTGTAGATGGGTTGGACTGTGATAATGCCATGTTTGCGGATGACATAAAAATCTGTACAGTTATCCAGAATGCTGCCAATGAGACCATCTTCCAAGAAAATCTTTGTCGATTGGACAAGTGGTCCCGTAGATGGCTCTTGTCCTTCAATTTGACCAAATGTACCATACTGCGCCTCGGATATCAGACCCGTAGTACGCGGCAATACCATCTGTACGGAATACCACTTCGAGAAGCAAAAACGCAGTAAGATCTCGGAGTCTGGGTTGCAGACAGCCTTAAGCCTTCGACGCAATGTTGTAAGGCGGCCAAGGCCGCAACTTCAATGCTATATGCCATCAAGCGTGCATTTCCTTTTTTCGATGAAGACTGCTTCTCCAAAGTCTTTGACACGTTTGTGGGGCCGAAACTCGTATATTCAATTCAGGCCTGGACACCATGGACACATCAGAATTACAATCTGCTCGAAAGGGTGCAGAGGCGAGCCACGCAATTAGTAAGAGGTCAAAGTGTACTTCCATACGAGGTCCGCTTAACTAACCCTAATCTCTATCCTCTGACTTGTAGGCAGTTGCGGGGAGACTTGATACAAACTTTCCGTATCGTGCGTGGCTTGGACTGCGCCCTTCGTTGCGATGAATTTTTCCAACTCGCCACAACAACTAACCTCCGGTGTCATCCCTTAAAGCTACGTGTGCCCCAGGGTAGATTGAATGTGAGAAAATATTTCTTCTCTAACCGTGTCGTGGAACCGTGGAATAATCTGCCCGAGACGGTTGTCATGTCTCAATCTGTGGCGACATTTAAATGTAGACTTGACAGACATATGCTCCAGCACCAAACGGACTTTGTGACTTTTTAGCCATGAGATCAGTGTCGTATGTGAATCAATGCCTGCATATACTTACTGCTGTAATTTCTTCACATTCTGCTTATTTATCGATTTTTTATGTACAAATATGGAGTTCAAAGGCGTAAGCCTATTTCCCTCAAATACACTGACTGAATGACTGACTGACTGATCATGGGCATAACTCCTCGCCACCGTGTCAGAAAATTGGCTTATTCTGAAAACGAGCAACGTACTCCACAAACAGTTTTTTGCAAGATTTCGCCAGTTAGCGCAAAGCTGCTTGCCCCACTATGGCGTTAGATCGAGCCAGAGCTGGCATTTACACATGACATGCGTATGATGGTTTCCGTGATTTTTTTACTATTGTTCCACATGCGCGCTAGTTGTGAACAGGCTGCCACAGACGGCCACATGCATCCCAGTTGTATGGTAACTCCACGCCCGCGGATGCAGCTAAAGGGATATTGAAAAAATTTTCGCTGACAAGGCTATCCTGCCGCAGATAGTAACTATCACGCCAGGTATAACGTACGCGACGTCGTGCAGGCCTATTAGCGTTGACATGGCTGAAATAATTGGATGCTGAGGAAATAGTATGCGTCCTCATAGTCACCGAGGAAGAGATCACCGTTCACGCGGGCTTCTTCTGTCAGATTTCTCAGAACTTCAGACTTCTTTAACTTCATCTTTCCGAGGGCCTCACCTGCCCGGTCTGGCTGTGAGATGCTGCACCCCTAATGTCGGACCAGTAGACCTCTACTGCTTTGTAAAATCGCATAGAGGTTCGCCCAATTAGATGCAATTTAGATACGGCGTCATGACCGACTTCGCACAGTGCGAGTCGAATGCTGTTTCAGTACAGTCGGCGGAGGCTAAGTTCCAGTCGATATGCGCTTAATTAAATTCTCCCAACGATGAGAGAATTCGGCCACGTAGAAAATCATTTGAGCTCATTCAGCAATTGGACATCAGTGATAGGGTCATTTCTCGGACGACGATATTCAGTCAAGATGTCGAGGCTCCTAGTGTTTTCCAAACGGCAAGACAATTTTGACACAGTTGAATGGAACGATTGCCTTTAGGCGTAAGTACTGCACGTCAGGTGAGGTAATCACCTAGATTTACTAATACGATTTTCAAAGTCTTCTGACTGTCCAAAAATATTCTGTAGGTTCTCAAAATGTACATCTAATAAAGGTTCTTGTCCAACTACATAGTGCAGTTTCCTCATGACACCAAGTCCGTTGACGAGAAAGATTCCGGCCCCGTAAGGCAGGCTTTTTGACCAGAGTACTTTGCTCATTCAAAGGGCCCACATTGGAAAACTTTACACGACCAATAGAAGGAACCAATCACTTGCTGACTCCGAACCTCTGAAAACACCCACAATAAGCATTTAAGGCTTAATCATCGTTAAAGAGGATGAAGACAGAAGGTCAATTTCGGGAGGAAAAAAATTGGACGACATAAGGTAGAGGCCCATCGGATGGTGTGAAATAGCGTCAGCCAAAGGTTTTAGTACGTGTCTTTGCGTTTACCTCGCACAAGATCGAGCCTTATGTGCCAGTTTTCCGATAACCAACTTGTCTAACTTTATATTCCCCAGCGAGTCGCCTCCCCGGCACTGCAGTGAGAAGTTAAACAAGCCAAGTTGATAGAGACGATTACTGATGCTCCCAGGCAACATCTTTGCCTATCAATATTCAGATGGGTTGAAAAGAATTTCTTACCCTGGCCTTGAGCTTAAGCTTATAGATAGTGAATATTGAATATGCGGCACTACCTAGTATGTCATTCAGGTAGGCTTACTTTGAAACTCTACCCCTCAATCATTTCCCGTCACGATTCTCTTGAGTGTTAACGTTAAGATTGTAGTCCGACATAGGTAAAGGCTAATCAATAATTTTAGGGTTCTGCTTTAAACTTAGGTTTAGTGTTAGGGAGTTAGGGATTGGACTATTATCGAGATTAAATTTCTTTACATCCTCAACGTGGCCACTGAAGGCGTTGGACTTTATGATATATTCTCAAAACATTTCACATCATTGTGACTGCTTATCACGGGCTAGGATCAGTTTGCCTAAAATATCGAACAATGTCCCTGGCTTTCATTATTTTAAATTTAGATACAGCTCCTTATTTTCGCCAGCTTGAACTTTTACGCTTCATTAGAGCATTTCTGCTAGATAATGACTTAATTGCTGGTTTCTACTGAACTTACTAAAAACGGCTACCCGTCTTATTTCTAATATCCGCCCATGCAAACCGCAATACTACCATTTTAGTACTGGTTGGGGCCAAATGTTGAGTCGTCACCTGCTTGATTTTCTTGACAAGTCATTGATTGGCTGAAATTATCGTATGCCCGAGCGGTATTTCTCGAGTACTCCTAATAAGCTACACTTTCGCAGCTAAAGGAGTAGATCTATTAGATTTATCAGCAACTGCAGTCACTATCAAACACATTCCATTTCGTAACCGAAAACATGAGAAAAAGTAGCACTTTTCAAACAGAGCTGTTACGGAAATCAACGTCGTTCACACTGACATGATATATTAAAATATACAAAAAGACGTCAGCTACAGTTTTTTTTGTGGAAAGAAATAGTCGACAGGAGCAAACAGAACCAATTCCTTTTTAACAGCCTTCGACACATTAATGTACATGTGAGGACGCGACTGAAAGTAAAGATCCAACTTTATCATGACCAAGCCCAACCAGGCATCATCTATTGGAAACTGCTGAGTGAAGTACATGGCTAGCGCAATTTCCTGGAATACATCAACACCTATGACGTAAAAAGTGCCAAAGGCATAAGGTGCGTAGTAAGGCCACGGCACCTCGTGCTTGGAGACAGACCACTTTTCGCAAGCCTTTATAGCCAAGTGACGGATGACAATTGGAGGAGTTATTGGCAAGCCCCAAGTCACTCGTCGAATCTGTGCGTCAGTGAGGGTCCCCAATTCGGCCTTCATACGGCTTGCATTGAAGGCGTAGTCATCATCAAGGAGAATGAAGACAGGAGGTCTTTTCTGAGAGGTGAAACGCGAGCGGCAGAATGTAGAGGCCCATTGGAAGGTGTGAAATAATTTGAGGCTGAGGTTATAGTAGGTGTCCTCGTAGTCACCTACAACGAGGTCACCGTTGAGTTTGTCTTCTTCTGTCAGATTTCGCAGAATTTCTGTCCTCTTTGTTTGCATCTCCTCCATGGCCTGACCTGCCCGGTCTGGCAATGAGATGTTAAAACCGTCACGTTGGAAGAACCGACCTCCGCTGCTTCGAGGCAACCCCACGGAGAAGACCATAGCCATGCGGAATTCAGGCTCACGCAGGGTTTCCTTAACAAAAGCCCTCCGTAAGCGATCACGATCTGCAAAATTGTAGACAGCGGACTTGACTATCACAATAGCATCCAGATTTTTCTTGACTGATTTTCCTGGCAGGCAGACAGTCGAACTGACCTTCAGGAATCGGATTGTTCGATTGAATATGGGAGCCTGCGCATGCAAAAGAAGACGATTCAACTAAGTGACTGGGAATTCAAGCGAACGTTTCGCTTTATAACAAGCAGTCCCTATACCTGTTTCTCAGTTCTTAATCTACTTATCCGTGACGTAGTTGAAATAAATGCTTTTTTGCTTGACTTTCTGTGCATTTATTGCCAACGGCTCGTTGCGGTCTGCGTAAATTTAAAGACGACGGAAATGTGTAAGCCAGGAATGTTGCTTCCTATGTTGTACTCTATTAGCCTCATCAAAGACTTGCTCGTCGATTTACTACTTATGTCGGAGAGTAACAATTAGTCACCCGACCAGATGGCACTGACATCGTAAGCAGGTGGAGGAGGAGGAGTAGGGCGAGGAGGACGAGGAGGAGGAAGAGGAGGAGGAGGAGGAGGAGGAGAAGGAATAAGTAAGAAATAGACGATAGCACAGATTGAGAAGTAGTTTTATGAGTACATTGTCAGGTGGATGCGAGGCGAGCTATTGGCTCACACTGCCACAGACATCCGAGAGCGTCAGATGATAACGTGACTGGGCATCGGCGTACGAGCACTGACCTGGCGACGATGGTAACATGACATACAGTAGGTGGGCTAGCTCAGGAAATGTCAACAGAAATTTTCAAATGTGTTTTCGTTTCGAGAAGAGTAAGTAATTAGGATTGTAAAACTAGTTACTCTGTGAGAAAACTCTATATGATATCATTTACCTTCGGCTGCCGGCCCACGAATGAACTTATTTCGGGGTGCATGCAAAAACAACCCTCTATAAAAATGACTACATGAGTGGCATGAATTTTTTTCATGCATTTTTGCTGTCCCTGATTGTCCAATGATATTTCATGGAAAATAGGAATAAAAATATTCATTCTTTTTCTCATTTGGTAGATAATTACGTCGTTTTCTTGTATTTTTTTCTCGCAGGAAGGACATATCTTGTTTTTTTAAAGAGTTTCTAATAATAGGATTTTCAAATACCGTCAAATAGCCCTTTAGCAATCTTCATAATTCTGTATTTACCAATGCAGCTTGGAAAGTTAAGAATATGGCTAAAATGCACTGCTTAAATTCTAAAACCCTATATGCGCTTCTTTTACTATTGTAGAATTATGTGAAGTTGTCATAACGCGGAAAATTTACGGCTCGAATTTTTGGAATCCTGAATCCAATCGTGACAGTAGAACGGGTTCAAAATTACTCGGGAATCGGAAAAGTTTTTTTAAAACTGAATTTTGTCCGTTTTTCGAGCAAAACAATAAAAAAGTACGCAATTATCTACCGAATGAGTAAAATAATGAATATTTTTATGCATGTTTTTCATTAAATATAATTGAACTTTAGGGACATCGACAATCAAGGAGAAAAATGCATGCTACACAAGTAGCCATATTTTGCAGGGTTTCCTTTTTGCATTCGACCAGATAGACGTTCATTCGTAAGCTGGCACACAGAATTAACTGAAATATTATAGAATTATGTTGCAGGCGGACTAGTTTTACAACCCATGTTAATTAATCTTCTCGAAACGAAAGCACATTTCGGAATTTCGGTTAACATTTCATCAGCTAGTCCACCTAATGCACATTAACACTGGCCGCTACTTTGGACGTCATACTGATAATTTCCGATATCCCGCAAATTGTCAAGGCATTCAGTTTTCCGATGATTTGGTTCGCCTTTACCACAGAGAGAGACAAGATTTAACTCTATTTTGAAATTATAAATTCTAAATTTTCAACACCAATGGAGCCCATTCTCTATGGACAAGCGTCGGAAAGTGTAACACGCAAAGAATCGACTATGCCGGGAACAGTTCTGGCATGGCAAACATCATCGAAAATTCAACCAGTAAATTTCTCGATCGTTTTACAATATCATTTTTTAATAATTTCAGCTAAAAAGACATAACAAACTCTGGCGACGTCAAACGTCTTACGGGAGGATTGGAACACGGTTACGCATGCTCTTCTGACTGATAACCACAAGTTCTTTAAGCATATTTATCGACAGTAGCCATCCTACATTGCTGATTTGATTGGCATCCAGGGTTGGCAATACAGAAATTTGTTATGCCGAGGTACGACAAGAGATAAGTAAAAAGCTACGGCGAATGGGACAGAAAGACTTCGCCAAGATTATTGCAGGGTTCAGTATAGGGGCAACATCATTCAGAATTCAATCAGTGAATTGCTTGGCCGTTTCGAAATGTCCATTACGTTGGCGACCGTATCGCGAACAAATGTTGCGTCATTGGCTTTGTAACTGCATTAAACGCTTTCCCAAGAGGTTGGAATTTTTCTAGCGAACCTCGAATATGTTTTCAAGTGCCTGTTAACAGAGCATGCCTGGTAAGTAGTATTAGCTTTATTTAAAAGTTAACGTCGTGGCGATTTCATGCTGAATTAGGCTTCTTAGGACTGATATTGCATACGTAAAATAGTAATTACTATGATGCATTCAAATACGTTCATGCAAGCTTCGCCTTATTCATGACTGGGAGACCTCATTTTCCTATATGGGCAATATGTAGCAAGCTGCCAATCGATCTAGCAGTTTCTAGCCCCACAGTTGAATCGGAATTCAGGAAATATTCGACAACATGCAAGCACGGCAGCAACATTTCAGACAGTAACGCGTTTGTTACATGCACCTCTTTAGTTTATCTTCTTCCAAAGCTTTTTTGTGTATCGGTGTTGTTCGCGAATTATCGGAACCGAAAGGGAATTCAGAAATGTTCGCCTACCATTCCCTTAATAAAACTGGGCCGAACTGAACTGAATGAAGCGGCTGTTGAAGAGTTCATGAAAATGCTTTTGTTATACGCGTTCCCAACCTACATCAGAATTGGGATATTGACGCCTAAATGTGACAATCCTAATTAACCGAAATGTGCCAGGAAGCTCCATTGCGCGCTCCATTGTCCAGGCTGCCAGTAAATGGCAAGACTTTCCGGATTGCCCTGACATCAGTTTCGGTAAGCCGGTTCAATACGCCTTGACCCGAATGTTGATCCCGAAATCTGAGATATTTTTGTCAATGAAGGTCTCGTTCGAAGACGTTACCTAATCTGCATTTATGTAATAGTATATTTTTTAGAAAGAATTTAGGAGGTTAACATTAGGATATCAGAACCAGCCATTGCACCATGGTGTTCGGTGTATTCCCTCGAAAAGAACTAAACGGGGTGTAGACATAATTAGTAATTGTAAGGGGACATTATGTCTAAAAAACCCTTGCAAAAAATAATGTTGGACACTACGTACACATATTTCCAATCCTCTCCTTTTTTGCCAAACTGTGCAGTACTCAACGCCTAAGTAAGGAGTTTTGTTTATCATTGATGTCTCCTTTCTTCAATCGATATTTCTTCTATAAGTGCCCGGAGCTAATAATTACTTCGGTTTCGTTTGGTAAGTTTGCTTAAACAGGATAAACTTTGCTACATCTTGTGTATTTCTAGACCATTAATTCCTAAGTCACTAACTTGCGTTCTCAAATTTCAGCGCGCAATATTCCCGGAAACAGCAATCGGAATCCACATCGACACTTCTGGTGATGGCAT